GCTACTCGGGAGACTGAGGCAGGAGCATCACTTGAACCCGGGATGCAGAGGTTGCAGTGAGCCAAGATTGTGCCACTGCACTCCATCCTGGGCCACAGAGTGAGACTCCGTCTCAAAAAAAAAGAAGAAAAAAAAAAAGGAAGACAAGTTCAGCCTTTTTATATATTAGAGATGGGGTCTTGCTATGTTTCCTAGGCTGGTCTTGAATTCTTAGGCTTAAGCAATCTTGCTGTCTGGGCCTCCCTAAATTTAACCTTTGATGTGGTTAGTGTGATACAGCAGGGGGACAATCTATGGGTTGTAAATACCAGAAAGGGCTCCTCACCAAAACAGCTACCTCTCATCTCAGCCTCTCTGGACACACACACACACACACACACACACACACACACACACACACAGAGAGAGAGAGAGAGAGAGAGAGAGAGAACCCCAGAGCGCTGACAACATCAGCATTCTCAGGGACCTCATGGAACTCTGTTGGAGGGAGGGGTCTGGCACCTGGACAGCACTCCTCTATGACTTCATCAGCCTCAGAAGCCACAGGAAAGCAGCTTCGTCATCCTAAACTGAATGTCTTTTAACCTCTGGACTTCAACTGGCAAAGACTGGAGTTAAGAATAATGTGAAGCATCAGGCATCTGTGCTTCATGTGTTTCCTCTCTTAAACTGCTTTGTTTTTCAAGGGCGTCATGCCCTGTATTTGGCTTTAACATTTTGCTTTCTCAGCCTAGGCAACACAGAAAGACTTTGGCTCTCTCTCTCTCTCTGTTTTTTTTTCTTTTGAGACAGTCTCGCTCGGTCACCCAGGTTAGAGTGCAGCGACTTGATGGCGGCTCACTGCAACCCCCGCTTCCTGGGTTGAAACGATTCTCATGCCTCAGCCTCTCGAGTAACTGGGATTACAGGTGCATGCCACCATGCCCAGCTAATTTTTGTAGTTTTTAGAAACAGCCAAGACTCTGTTTCTTAAAAAAAAAAAAAAAGTCGGGCGCAGTGGCTCACGCCTGTAATCTCGACACTTTGAGAGGCGGAGGCGGGCAGATCACGAGGTCAAGAGATTGGGAACATCCTGACCAACATGGTGAAACCGTGTCTCTACTAAAAATGCGAAAATTAGCTGACATGGTGGTGCATGCCTGTAATCCCAGCTACTGGGGAGGCCGAGGCAGGAGAATCCCTTGAACCAGGGCGTCGGAGGTTGCAGTGAGCCGAGATGGTGCCATTGCACTCCAGCCTTGCGACAGAGCGAGACTCAATAAAAAAAAAAAAATAATAATAATAATAACCTGGGCACCCACCTGTAGGCACCCACCAGCAAGTCCCAGTTACTTGGGAGGCTGAGGCTGGAGGATTACTTTAGCCCAGAAGTTCAAGGGTGCAATGAGCTCATGCTTTGTCTAATATATTTATCCAAACAGCCTCTTTCTGTTCTGTACGTTTGTATTTATACGGTTACTTTTTTTTTTTTTTTTGAGACGGAGTCCCACTCTGTCGCCCAGGCTGGAGTGCAGTGGCGCTATCTCGGCTCACTGCAAGCTCCGCCTCCCGGGTTCTTGCCATTCTCCTGCCTCAGCCTCCCAAGTAGCTGGGACTACAGGCGCTCGCCACTACGCCTGGCTAATTTTTTTTTGTATTTTTAATAGAGATGGGGTTTCACCGTGTTAGCCAGGATGATTTTGATCTCCTGACCTCATGATCCGCCCGCTTCGGCCTCCCAAAGTACTTGGATTACAGGCGTGAGCCACCGCGCCCAGCCCCTACAGTTACTTTTGTACAAGTGCTTTGCTCTAGGAAATTAGGTGCCTTGTAATTGTTGTGATTGATAATGATGACATTGGAAAAGGAACATAAGACGAAGGAAGCTGACTCTGGGTAGGCAATTCTACTTCATTTTGCAATCTCTTTTCCTTTTTGCATGCCTGTGCCAATATTCTAAGATTGAAGAAGTTGTGGAGGTAAGAGTGAACTGTTTGGGAATTCTTTCATTATCTCCCTATTTAGGACAGCACAAAGATCAAATCACTGTCACCTCATGCAAGAAATGTGAGAACTGTGGCTACAAATCACTCAATACAGTACTTTGCATATTATTTCCTTACTGCTTACATAATTTATTGCAACATATTCTGCTTCTTTTCCCAGAACTGTCAAATCTCTGCTATATCAGTACTGGCTAAATTCGGTGTTAAATGATTGAGCTTCAGGATGGGCAAATCATGACTTCGGACTACATTCCTCTTTGCCTGGGGGCTGGGAAATTCTGTAAGCTCTCTGTGTTTCTATCAGACTGGTCTTGAAGGCGGTGGCTGTTTGTGGATCTCCGCAGAGCGCCAATGTTGGCTTAAAAAAACCCCAAAGCTAGATTGTCCAAAAGGTATCCAAAAGGTAGTTGTATTATTTACAAGCCATCTTTTAGCTTTAAAACGTGATGAAGCATTTCCAGTTCCCTTTTCTTGAACTAATTCAGCAACTCCCTTTTTTGTTAGGTCCGCGCTGCTGCTAAGACTTCAGATGAAAGATGCTCCGGGGACTCCGTTATCCCGGGCCCCTCTGCCCGACATTTTTGATGAAGCGCTGCCTCCTGGCGGCGGCTCTAATGCTCGACGCCTTCCCAGCCTAGTGGAGTTCACTTTCTCTGGTTTGGAATCTGGAAGCTGATGCAACAGCTCCCCCGAGGGGGCGGGGAGTCGGGAACCCGGAGTGGAAGAGACGGCCTTCGGGAGACCCCTCCTCCGGCTCCGAGCAGGCACCTTTCCTCGCCCCGCCTCCCGCCCCCGCCCCCCCCACAAGGGGCTTCCAGTCTGGGGGTCCCACCCAGATTCAGCTAAGCATCTCCGGGCAGGAGGCAGTTGTGGCCAGGGGTTGGGGCTCTCGCCCCGACCCCTGTCTGGCAGCCAGCTTATGCGGGGTTGGGAGGGAGGGAAGAGGAAGCTGAGCGTTCATGGGGTGGACGACCAGTCTCTAAGGGTGTCCGCGGTCATTTTCATTTCCCCGCAGCAGTCCAGCTGTGCGGGAGCGAGGAGCGGACAGGGGAGCGGGTTGCCAGGCCTCGGTGCTTGGACCTTTGCGCCCTTCGCCTACACCCACGACAGTCCCCTCTTCTAGCGCTTCCTAGAGTCGGTGGAAGGGTGGGGGCAGCTTGGCCAGGTGGAGGGAGCGGAAGGGACGCCTGCTGGGGTGAGGTTCTGGTCCCCCAAGGCAGAGCTCGAGTGGGCCCCCACAGCCAGACCTGGGCCTCGGGGGCGACCCTGTTCTAAAGAGGGGTAATGAAGGCGGACTGTGGCTGGGTCCGAGCTTGGGAAGGCGTTGTCCTAGGACCGCAGACTGGGGACCCAAAAGAAGGAGGGAAATAAAAGCGAAACAAATGGCAGGGGACCGGAGAAAGCGAGGGTGGATTGGGGGGTGGGGATGGGAGAAAGGGACAAAGGTGAGTGAGGCCAGCAGGTTGGGCGGGGGCGGAGAGGGGGATGGGAACGGCCAAGGGCTAGGCCAGCGAGGATCGCGGGCTAGGGGAGAGCTTTTCCGGGGAAGAGCAGCGGGCGGGGCGCGTGGTGGGGAGTTGAGTGTATGCTTCGAAGTTCCGCTGTAGAGCCCACTTGCATGCGCATGAACCTGAGCGTTCGCCTCCCTCGGCCTTTTCCTCCTTTGCCCTTCACCCTTTCGCAGCTGTAGCACTTAGCTCTCGCCATCTCCACGCCGCACCCAGACCGGTCACCTGAGCCTGGGTGTGAGGTAGAGCAGACAAGAATTTCCTGGATCCAGGGAAAGAGTGTTAGATGATAGGCTTTTTGTTTTGCTTTGCTTTTCCCATTAATGAAACAAAAGTCCGTTTCAAATCATTCTAGGCCTCCCAGTAAAACCGTGAAAGCCATACTTTCTTCTCTGCCTTTAACGCGTTACTGTCAAAAAGAGTACCTCCGGGTACTCCTTGCTTAGGAGCCAGAGCGGCAGCCAAACAGGAGGGCCTGGAGAGCAAATTCAAGGACATGCCCAGGAGCCTAGCTACCTGGGAAATCAAATAAATAACATAGTTCATTCATTCATTTATTAACCCAGCAAACATTTATTAACTGTCTATGTGAGCCCTGCTCTGCGGGGATACAGTGGTGAACAAAGCTCTTGTGATGCTTACATTCTAGTGGGGGTGGTGACAGCAAACAAATGACACCGGGAATGGACAATATCACTGGGAAGCATGTTCCAGGCAGGGTGAACAGAAATTGCAAAAGCTGTGAGGCGGGAGCCTGCTTGCTGTGTGGCCACAGCAGGGAAGCCAGTGAAGCTGTAGTGGAATGAGGAAGACAGCAGGGGGGCCCATGCAGGCAAGGACAGCTTCCTCTTCCTGGGTCTTCCCTCACAACTTGGACCCTACCCCAGAGTGCAGGTAAGGGGCCAGCAAGTTGGGTAGCAGGCTGAGAGTGTCTAAAGGACACTAAATTATCTTTGCAATAATTCAGGTATTTGGTGCCAGTGTACTATGATTTCCGTGTCTTGGTGAAATATGAGTTGTCTTTCATCCGGTGACATAGACTTATTGACAACTCCTTACCTGGACTACTTGTGTCTGGAGTAATTTTGCAAGACAGGTGCAAATTGCAGGGTGTAGCCCAGGGGCCAGCCAGCTGACAGTTGCTTAAAGGCATTAGTCACAGTTGTAATTCCAAAAATGCATGATGCACTGTGAAGTGCTGCTCCCTGAGGGCAAGAGATTTATACCATTATCTGATTTTAAGTGGTTTACTATGCTTACCAAGAAGCTGTTTGCTTCAGAAGATTGCATGTGATGAAGATGTGTAATAATTTCTTCTTTTTTTTTTGACTGGAGTGCTCACTGCAACCTCTGCCTCCCGGGTTCAAGCGATTCTCCTGCCTCAGCCTCCCAAGTAGCTGGGATTACAGGTGCCCGCCACCATACCTGGCTAATTTTTGTATTTTTAGTAGAGGCGGGGTTCCACTATGTTGGCCAGACTGGTCTCAAACTCCTGACCTTGTGATCTGCCCGCCTTGGCCTCCCAAAGTGCTGGGATTACAGGCGTGAACCACCACGCCCAGCTGATACGTAATAATTTCTAATTTTGAATATAAAGAGGCTTACACAATTTGTATTCCAGGAAAATTGGTATTTCCCCCACCTCTGCTAAGTAAACGTTCGACAGATGTTTAAATAAAACTGGTTTGAAGGGATGCCAACTCATTAGTCTGCCCAGGGTGCCACGGCCCAGTTGGCTCTTACCTGGTGACACACATCGATATCACCTGAACCAATTAGAGATCTCAGCTGTGAGTGAGCTTGCTTGGTGTCTAAATGTGCTTGGCTGTCCTCCTATAAGTGGTCTTCCTTGGCCTGGATTACCTCCCTTGGCTTGCTTTAGGGGCTGAAATGGCGCTGACATTCTTGAGATGGGACTGCAAAGTTTCCTTCTCCTGACCATGGGATCGTATCCCCTCTGCAGGACTAAGGATAGTACATGAGTGGGAGATGATTAGGAAATGGAATGAGGGGAGTTGCAAGAGGCATCAGAGGTCACTGTCAATGGAGGGGAAAGCTTAAATGCTCAGTAAATGTAGGGCAACAAGAAAGAGGGGGGTGGGGCTGAGGGAGGGAGGAGAAGGAGCTGAGACTCAGGTATTTGGTGCCAGTGTAGTGGAGAAGGTGCCTGGAGGCTGGCAGGCATTGAGGTCCTCTGGGTCTGACCAGGCAGTCCCAGCTCCAGCCCGTCCCCTGGCCCCTCCCCGCTGCCAGCCAGAGTCACACATGTGTTTTCCTGTTTTCCATTTCAGTCCCCGTTACCCTCTGCTTTTTCTGCTCCTCAGAGTCAACAGCTGCTGCAGCGTGAGCCATACCCTTGGTTCTCCTAACTAGCACCTTCCCCTCTCCCTTGACTGAGCTGGTAGCCTGTCCTCCCCGCACCTGCCCAAAGGTCACTGGACAGGTAAGAGGTGGGAGAGGAGGGACAATGGGCGAGAGGGGAAGTGCAGGAGGAGGATGGAGTGAGTCCTAAAAATCGGCTGAATGGAGGCCCAAGAGCCTCCTGTTTCTTGATCCCAGCTGTGTCCCTCCCTGGGCTGAAACTTCTGCCCAGAGACTTCAGCCCTTCCTTAATGGAAGCCCTGGCCACAGGAGTAAACAATTGCTTTTTTGTTTCACCTTTTTTTTTTTTTTTTTTTTTTTTAAGAGACTGTCTTAGCCACAGTAGAATATAGAAAAACAAACAGAGAACTGGGGAGGGAGGAGCTGAGCTTCTAGCTTGGAGTGATGGGGAAATCTAGTCATACCAGAGTGTATCTGTTTTCTGTTTCTGTTGTTAGGGGAGGCAGCACAGACTGGTTGGAGCCAGGAAGGCAAGACATGGGGTCTCTGGGAGAGAAAGTGTGTTCTTACAGTAGTTCCCTGAGCTCGGCTGAGGAGCCAAGACCCCGAGTTATGTGCTAGTTCCTGGAGGAAGTATGTTTTGGTGTTGCCATTGGAGGGTGAGGTTAGGGTGAGGGGCTCCACTGACTGTTCTGCCCAGCACTGCATACTGGAGGCCCTGCTGCCAGTTTCTGAATCAAATTTCTTCCACAGGCTGTAGGATAAGTGTGTTGTCCTGTAATCTTCACTGGGTGTTCAGAGATGAATGCATCTCAGACAGGGAAAGACGACAAGGGCTGCTGTTATCTTATGGGGTTGCTCATGTAAAACCTGGGGTGGGCCAGGTGCAGTGGCTCACACCTGTAATCCCAGCACTTTGGGAGGTTGAGGTGGGAGGATCACGAGGCCAGGAGTTTGAGACCAGCCTGGCCAACATGGTGAAACCCCGTCTCCACTAAAAATAAAAAAATAAAAAAAATAAAAATTAAAAATTAGCTGGGCATAGTGGTCGGTGCCTGTAATCCCAGCTACTAGGGAGGCTGAAGCAGGAGAACCCAGGAGGTGGAGGTTGCAGCGAGCAGAGATCACGCCACTGCACTCCAGCCTGGGTGACAAAGCAAAACTCCGTCTCGGAGAAAAAAAAACCCCAAAACCCCCCCCCCCCCCCCCAAAAAAAAAAAAAAAACAAGGGCAGAAGAGCCCCTTTGGGAGAGCCTAGAGGTGTTGTTGGTCGCAGGCTGCCTGAATGGCAGAAGCATTACCCTAAGACCCGGGGTCTTAGGGAGAAATGTGAGCTGCCAAAGATGGTGCCTTCTTGTCTAGGGTGCTATAGGTAGTGGTGGGGAAAGACAGGGGCTTCATGTTCTCTATGGATGGCAGCCTCCCTTGCCTAGTTTGCATGGGCAGACTGAAGTAGGTTAGAGTCCACTAGCACTTCTTGGTGCTACCACGAGGGCATGCTGTTTGCGGGAGTGCGGGTTTTACCCCAGCAGATTTCTGTCTCAAAATTCCACGGATAGGACTTCACTTTTCAGATGCCACCAGTCAGGAATGAAACCCCGTACACTTCTCTCTCCATTCCCCCTCACAGTTTTCCCTTCCTTTGTCCCTCCTTCCTTCCTTTCTTTTACGTCATATTAGGACACATGCCCACCCCTTGGTGCCAGTGAATTTGGTCTTAAAAGGGCAGGCGTGATGATGTGTTTGTGTTTTCTTTTGTTTGCTTTAGAAGTGGGCACCCTAGCAATAGCAGCACTGCCAAGAGGACTTGTAATCACCTCTTATCCCTGCAAAGAATGAGAAAGGGGAGGGGCAGCCAGGAAGGAGATTAACAAACTTTGTTGGAGCCTTTAGTCTAGGCTATAGACTGAAGGATGACAGAGGCTTTCTTTCTTTTTAATCTAGTCTGATTACATCTTCCTCCAGGTAATTCATGTAGGTCATTCCTGTCCAAAAGCAAGGTCTAAGGTGGTGCCGGTGGCTCATGCCTGTAATCCTACCACTTTGGGAGGCAGAAGCAGGTGGATCAGTTGAGGCCAGGAGTTCAAGACCAGCCTGGCCAACAGAGCGAAACCTCATCTCTACTAAAAATACAAAAATTAGGCTGGGCACGATGGCTTATGCCTGTAATTCTAGCACTTTGGGAGGCTGAGGTGGGCGGATTGCCTGAGTTTAGGAGTTTAAGACCATCCTGGTCAATATGGTGAAACCCCGACTCCACTAAAAACACAAAAGATTAGCTGGGCGTGCTGGTGTGTACCTGTAATCCCACCTACTCAGGAGGCTGAGGCAGGAGAATTGCTTGAACCTGGGAGGTGGAGGTTGCAGTGAGCCGAGATCGCGCCACTGCACTCCAGCCTGGGCAACAGAGCAAGACTCTGTCTCAAAATAAAATAAAATAAAACAAAATAAATAAAAATACCAAAATGAAAACACAAAAATTAGCCAGGCATAATCCTAGTTACTCAGGAGGCTGATGCATGAGAATTGCTTGATCCAGGAGGTGGTGGAGGTTGCAGTGAATCAAGATTGTGCCACTGCACTCCAGCCTGGGTGACAGAGTGAGACCTTCTCTCAAACAAACAAACAAAAAATAAATAAAATAAAATAAATAAATAAATAAATAAATAAAATAAAAAGAAGGCCTAGAGACTAGGGCAGGCCAGGGGGATGGGGAGATGGAGAGATAGTATACTTGTGTGATTAAGAGTATATGAGCTCTGGTGGTTCCATTAGATGATGTGCTTAAAGTCCTTAGCAGTGTGTCTGAGCCAGGTAAGTGCTCAATAAGTGATAGCAATTATTATTACAGGAGCATTTTGGAGAAAAGGATAGTCTCCTCCAGAAGGATTTCAGATCACTGTGAAGCCTGTCTTGGGAGAAGCATGATCTCTGGGAACGCTCACACCAGAATCCTCCTCCTAGATTAAATTAAAAGTTTAAAGAGCTAGAATGGGAGGATGTATGGTGGAGATGTCTCCCAGAGATATTTAGATCTCTATTCTCTGGTTGTAGAATAACCAAAGAGGGTTAGAAGAGATATGAGAAGAAACAGACAGTTGGATTTCAGAATGGATAGGGTCTATTTCTGTTGGATAGAATACCAGATTTAAAGTAAATAATAAAGACAGCATAAACTATGTGATTTCCAAAAAATGCTCAGCTTTCTCTGCCTGTTCTGGGCCTGTCTGTCCAACATAATTCAGTGAAATCTGATTTCCTCATTTTATTTAAAAATTTTTTTTTTCGAGACGGAATCTCGCTCTGTCACCCAGGCTGGAGTGCAGTGGCCCAGTCTCGGCTCACTGCAAGCTCTGCCTCCCGGGTTCCTGCCATTCTCCTGGCTCAGCCTCCCGAGTAGCTGGGACTACAGGCACCCGCCACCACACTCAGCTAATTTTTATTTTTATTTTTATTTGTTTGTATTTTTAGTAGAGACAGGGTTTCACCGTGTTAGCCAGGATGGTCTTGATCTCCTGACCTTGTGATCCAGCTGCCTTGGCCTCCCAAAGTGCTGGGATTACAGGTGTGAGCCACCGCGCCCGGCCTGATTTCCTCATATTTTTTAGGAAAGTGGAGTAAACTTATATATGAGGAAGTCGTTCATAGGAATGTATGCTTATCCCAAAAATCTTGGTATGTTTTGTCAAGAATGAAAAGGCACATGGGTCTGGTGGGGATGCAGTCAGATATTTGATCTCTTGACTGTGTTTCTTTTGAAGTAGTCTGAGGCTCAGACTTTGGGGCAGTGGCCCAGGTTTGGAGGCAACCTCCCAGTCTCTCTTTGCATGGGGAAGTGTGCAGTCACAGGGTGTAGAGACTGCTCTTACACTTCCTGTAATCTCAGCATGGGAACAAGCCTTTGTGTTACACTGTGCAACCTTCCTCCCTTTCTTAAATGCTTGGGGTGAGAGAGAAGAGAGGCTAGGGTGGGGCATGGAGGACACACAGAGAAAGAGAGTGCTGTGTATTCCTTCCCGGCTACTGTCCTGTCCTCAGCTAACTTGGTCTGGAACAGTTTCCCCAGGGCTGCAGATACTGCACCCAGCTGACTGTCCTTTCTTCTGGGCCCCTGGTCCCAGAGCAGAGCTGACAAAGGAGATTCCTGAGAGAGTGACTCCTTATCACAGAAAGTGCTGAGCCAAGAGCTCCTAGCCGCCCCTTTTGCAGATGTGAAGGGCCAGTGAACCCTGGACACAGATGGTTGCTTAACAGTCCTTTCCCCTCCCTCACTCCTTCCTTTGCAGGCTGCCTCACCTCCTCCACCCTTCTTGCTTAAATCCATAGGCATTTTTCTGGCCTTCCCTTTTACTGCTGGCTGGGAAGGAGGAGCATCAGACCATAGATCCTAGAAGGCACTTCTCTTCCTGACTGCTGCTGGCACTGCCGTGAGAACCTGCTTATATCCAGGACCGAGGAGTAAGTGTGCGTTCCGCCCTTTTCTCATCTCCACTCGCCTTGCTTACCCTTGTCTTTGCTGCTGTGCAGTGTCTAATTGCTTCTTCTCCCGAGTGCCCCTCGCCCTAATATCTCCCCATTGCTTGACTAGCCTCTTCTGTTTTCCTCTCAGCTGTCTCCTGCTCGGTGTTTTCCAGCATGTGCTGCCTGGCTGCAGCTGTCTTCCTGCCTTGGCTTGCAGTGGTATCTCTCCAGCAGCAACTCTGGGGTAGGGAGTGGTCATCAGCTGCCTCCAATCATCTCTAGGTTTTGTTGTACATTGGATCACCCTTCTCTCATTCATACTTTTTTGGGTGATTCAACGATGCTGATGTGAGGGATCTGATAGCAGGAGGCTTGGAATACCAGAGACTGGGAAAAAGGTTTCTGGGAAAGGAAAAGTGAGGAAAAGAGAATAGCCTGTTTTCTTTCAGGGTGAGGTGGGTCTACTTGGGCTTTGCCAGGGCTGAAGACTCCAGCTAAGGGTTAAGGGATGCTCCTTGGGCAGGAGGATGGTTGTGGGTTTCCAGCAGATTTCTGAAGCCTTTAGGTTTGGCAGACATAGAGTCCTTGAGGAAAAGAGCAGCGTTATGAGGTGCTCCCACAGATTAGTTGCTTGTAAGATCGGTTCCTAATGTATCTCAGCGCAGGTGATCGCTGAAGCTGAAATTGGAGGGAAGACGGGTTTTGGATAAGGCTGAAAACTCAGGGTCAAGCCATTATGGTTATTTTCTGGGAACTGCCACGCTGCCCCCATGCCTATCTTGTATTATAGCAGGCTCAGAGAGAACCAACATTTAGTGTTTTTTTTTTTTTTTTTTTTTTTTTGAGACAGAGTTTTGCTCTTGTTGCCCAGGCTGGAGTGCAATGGCCTGATCTTGGCTTACTGCAACCTCCACCTCCCGGGCTCAAGTGATTCTCCTGCCTCAGCCTCCCAAGCAGCTGGGATTACAGGCATGTGCCATCACACGTGGCTAATTTCTGTATTTTTAGTAGAGACCAAGTTTCTCAATGTTGGGCAGGCTGGTCTTGAACTCCCTTCTTTAGGTGATCTGCCCGCCTTGGCCTCCCAAAGTGCTGGGATTACAGACATGAGCCACTGTGCCCAGCCCAAGATTTCGTTCTCTATTTGGTGAGTTGGGTGGGCAGCAATATCCTAATGATGAGAGACAGATGCTTTCTCTCTGGCGAATGAGTGCCTTCTCTTAAAAATTCAAGTTGGAGGCCAGGCAAGGTGGCTCATGCCTGTAATCCCAGCACTTGGGGAGGCTGAGGCGGGCGAATCACCTGAGGTCAGGAGTTTGAGACCAGCCTGACCAACATGGAGAAACCCCGTCTCTACTAAAAATACAAAATTAGCCAGGTGTGGTGGTGCATACCTGTAATCCCAGCTACTCGGGAGGCTGAGGCAGGAGAATCACTTGAACCTGGGAGGTGGAGGTTGCGGTGAGCTGAGATTGCACTCCAGCCTAGGCAACAAGAGCGAAACTCCGTCTCAAAAACAAAAAACAACAAACAAACAAACAAAATTAGCCAGGCGTGGTGGCAGGTGCCTGTAATCCCAGCTACTTGGGAGGCTGAGGCAAGAGAAGTGCTTGAACCTGGAAGGCTGAGGTTGCAGTGAGCCGAGCCAAGATTGCACCACTGCACTCCAGCCTGGGCTACAGAGCGAGACTCTGTCTATAAATAAATAAATACATACATATTCAAGTTGGGGTTGTTTTGATGAGTGAGCTAGAGAAAAGGTTATTTGGAGGTCTCTGCAGTGGTTGGTGGCTGCCCATATTAGCCTGCGTTGGAGGCAGGTAGAGGTTCTATGTAATTGCCAACCACCTAATATATAGCATCATCTTTCTTCCTTAAAGGGCAATGCCAGGAAGCTGGTGAAGGGTTTCCTCTCCTCCACCATGGTTGACAGCACTGAGTATGAAGGGGCCTCCCAACCTGAGGTGGAAACCTCCCCTTTGGGTGATGGGGCCAGCCCAGGGCCGGAGCAGGTAAAGCTGAAGAAGGAGATCTCACTGCTTAACGGCGTGTGCCTGATTGTGGGGAACATGATCGGCTCGGGCATCTTTGTTTCCCCCAAGGGTGTGCTCATATACAGTGCCTCCTTTGGTCTCTCTCTGGTCATCTGGGCTGTCGGGGGCCTCTTCTCCGTCTTTGGGGCCCTTTGTTATGCGGAACTGGGCACCACCATTAAGAAATCTGGGGCCAGCTATGCCTATATCCTGGAGGCCTTTGGAGGATTCCTTGCTTTCATCAGACTCTGGACCTCCCTGCTCATCAGTGAGCCCACCAGCCAGGCCATCATTGCCATCACCTTTGCCAACTACATGGTACAGCCTCTCTTCCCAAGCTGCTTGGCCCCTTATGCTGCCAGCCGCCTGCTGGCTGCTGCCTGCATCTGTAAGTAGGGCTGGGGCAGGAGGTGGTGGATGGAGGGCTGGGCAGAGGCTGGGATGTGAGTGCAGTCTGGGAGTAAGAAGGAGATAGAAAGGAATGCCTCTGACAACATATATATATATACACACACAACTATATATATACACACACAACTATATATACACACACACAACTATATATATATACACACACACAACTATATATATACACAACTATATATACACAACTATATATATACACAATTCTCTCTCTCTCTCTATATAGTTAAATTAATGTATGCTTAGTGTGAAATTTCAAACAGTACCACAGTGTAACATAAAAACACTCACCTTTTCCCCAGCTTCTCATGGTAAGGACTATTAGCAGTTTGCATATTCTTCCTGATTTTTTTTTTTTTTTTTTTTTTAAGAGACAGGTGTTTTGCTCTGTCACCCAGACTGGAGTGCAGTGATGTGATTATACCTCACTTCAGCCTCGAACTTCTAGGCTCAAGCTATCCTCCTGCCTCAGCCTCCTGAGTAGCAGGGACTACAGGCATACTGATTTTTTTTTTTCTTGTTCCTTCAAGAGATGTAGTTTTGGCAGGGTGTGGTGGCTTATGCCTGTAATTCCAGCACTTTGGGAGGCTGAGGTGGGCAGATCACCTGGGGTCAGGAGTTCGAGACTAGCCTGGCCAACATGGTGAAACCTCATCTCTACTAAAAATACAAAAATTAGCTGGGCATGGTGGCAGGCACCTGTAATCCCAGCTACTCAGGAGGCTGAGACAAGAGAATCACTTGAACCCAGGAGGCAGAGGTTGCGGTGAGGCAGAGGTTGCGGTAAGCCAAGATTGCACCACTACACTCCAGCCTGGGTGACAGAGTGCGACTCCATCTCAAAAAAATAAAAAAATAAAAAAAAAAATAAAAAAAATTAAAAAAAGAGGTATGTTTTGTTCTTTTACAAAAATGAGATCATACTAGTCTACCTGTAATTCTACAACGTGCTTTTCCTCTAGCATTATCAGTGACATTCTTTTCTACTTACAGATCTACTTTTTAAAAAATGCTTTGTATTATTTCATGTTAATTTTAAGGATGTATTTTAAAATTATGTTTTAATTCCATGTTAATTATAAGGATTTAAGTAGTTTATTTATCTAGCTAGTCCTCTGTTAATGGCCATGTACCTTGGTTTCAGTTTCTCAGTCTTACAGATAATGCTCCAGTGGATGTCCTTTTGCAGTTGCGTGAGTATTTCTGTAGGCTAGATTCTTCCTTTTTTTTTTTTTTTTGAGATAGAGTCATTCTGTCACCCAGGCTTGAGTGGCGCAATCTCAGCTCACTGCAACCTCCATCTTCTGGGTTCAAGTGATTCTCCTGCCTCAGCCTCCCTAGTAGCTGGGATTACAGGCATGTGCCACCATGCCCAGCTAATTTTTTTGTATTTTTAGTGGAGATGGGGTTTCACTGTGTTGGCCAGGCTGGTCTTGAACTCCTTACCTCAAGTGATCTACCTGCCTCGGCTTCACAAAGTGTTGGGATCACAGGCATGAGCCACTGCACCCAGCCTCTGTGGGCAAGATTTTTAATACTGTCATTTCAGTCCACCTTGGCTTTTTCTCCATCTCATAAATAAAATATTATTTAAATCTGTACATTCCGCAAAGCCATTGGAGGTGCTGAGATGATGATTCTCCACAGCCCCATCCCTCAGATGCCTCTATTCTTGAAAAATGCCCTTCCAACCTGAGAGAGCCTAGGACCTTAGAGATGCCTTCCACCCCACAACTGTGAATAAGCTCAGACATTCTGTCAGTTTGAGGGGCAGCTGCTGTAGCAGTTGGGGCACAGGAATCTTGCACCAGGTGCAATTGCTCATTGGCTCCCTGCTCTCCCATCAGCTTGTGTCCTTTTTTCTTTCAATTTCTGTATTGCCCCATTCACTCCTCAACTTCCTTTCCAGCTTCCCTGATTTTACTGTTGTGTAGAGAACTGGCTGTCTTCTGTGGGGTCCTTCTGTGTTTTGTATGTCCTTGTGTCTGGCCTGGACTCATCTCTGCGTATGTTTGTCATACATGGCAACAGTCAGGGAGGGGTGGAAGGCACCACTTTGTGTTGCAAGAAGGGGGTTTTCACTGACGTTTTTTTGTTTTTTGTTTTTTTTGAGACAGAGTTTCACTCTTGTTGCCCAGGCTGGAGTGCAATGGCGCAATCTCAGCTCACCACAACCTCCGTCTCCCGGGTTCAAGTGATTCTCCTGCCTCAGCCTCTCAAGTAGCTGGGATTACAGGCGTGTGCCACCATGCCTGGCTAATTTTTGTATTTTTATTAGAGACAGGGTTTCTCCATGTTGGTCAGGCTGGTCTCGAACTCCTGACCTCAGGTGATGCACCCACCTCAGCCTCCCAAAGTGCTGGGATTACAGGCATGGGCCACATTCCCAGCCTTAGAATTCTATTATTTTAACTATCTTTATCTGTGTCATTTTTGACAGCTCTTGTTTTTTGATTCTGGCATTGTGCCTACCTCTGCCAGTCACCCCTTTTTAATTTTCTGCTTCTTCTTCTTCTTCTTTTTTTTTTTTTTGAGACAGAGTTTCGCTCTTGCTGCCCAGGCTGGAGTGCAATGGCGCGATCTCGGCTCACTGCAACCTCCGCCTCCTGGGTTCCAGTGATTCTCTTGTCTCAGCCTCCCAAGTAGCTGGGATTACAGGCGCCCGCCACCACGCCAAGCTAATGTTTTTGTATTTTTAGTAGAGACAGGATTTCACTATGTTGTCCAGGCTGGTCTCAAACTCCTGACCTCAGGCGATCCGCCTGCCTTGACCTCCCAAAGTGCTGGGATTACAGGCGTGAGCCACTGCACCTGGCCAATTTTCTGCTTCTAATTTAGGTATAGAGACATACATGTTCAAACCCTCATTCACCCATGTACACATTCATGTGCCTGTATATCCTTGTAAGAATACATGCAAAGGCCGGGTGCAGTGGCTTACGCCTGTAATCCCAGCACTTTGGGAGGCCGAGGCGGGTGGATCACGAGGTCAAGAGATCAGGACCGTCCTGGCCAACATGGTGAAACCCCGTCTCTACTAAAAACACAAAAATTAGCTGGGTGTGGTGGTGCATGCCTGTAGTCCCGGCTACTCAGGAGGCTGAGGCAGGAGAATCGCTTGAACCCGGGAAGCAGAGGTTATAGGGAGCAGAGATTGTGCCATTGCACTCCAGCCTGGGTGACAGAGCGAGACTCTGTCTCAAAGGAAAAAAAAGAAAAAAAAAAAAGCTGGGTGTGGTGGTGGGTGCCTGTAATCCCAGATACTGTGGAGGCTGAGGCAGGAGAAATGCTTGAACCCAGGAAGCAGAGGTTGCAGTGAGCCGAGATCATGCTACTGCACTTCAGCCTGGGCCACAGAGCAAGACTCTCTCAAAAGACAAAACAATACAAAACAAAACAAAAATAACACATGCAAAGTAGCCACAGTTATGGTTCATATGCAGAGCTCTTTAGTGAGTAAAAGGCATGGAGTTTTGTGCACAGATGTGTGACACACATTTGAGATTACTCTGATAGAGTGAAATGTGCACACCACTTGTGCACACACTTGTGTTTGAGGTTGGGCTCAATAGCTATGTGACCTTGAGCCAAGTGCACTGACTGTTTAATTCCAGGCTGTTGTGAGAATGGAATGAGATTCAGTGAAAATCATAAATTATGACTCAAGTATAAGGTATTATGTTTAAAATTACCATCTTTCTTGGTCACTTATAGTCCTGTTCCTTTTCCTGTTTCTTGACTTCATCTGAGTAGTTATGGTTAGATCAATGAGATATTACTGCATAGGTAATATCTGGACTTTGTTCTATCTTTAATAACTTCAGAGGAACATAGAGATCTGAAGAAGGTTCAGAAGGGCGATCAAGACTAAGAATTTAGTGACATATGATTCATGGGTTTATTCTTTCAGCCACTGTTTTAGTTTTGTTTTTAAATTTTTTTTATAGAGATGGGGTCTCGCTATGTTGCCTGGGCTGGTCTCAAACTCCTGGGCTCTAGCAGTCTGCCTGCCATGGTCTCCCAAAGTGCTAGGAGCCACTGCACGTGGCCTTCCGGCACTGTTTAATAAGCACCTGACACAAGTCAGATGCTAGGACCTATGAAGACATTCTGATTAGCCTAAGTGAGAACTTAGGCAGAATCTTCAGATTTAGCAACAGAAGGGCTTTAATTTAGAGCTTTCATACATTCCCTCCCTTAGAAAAAATTTAATTAGGGCATGCTGTGTGTGTGCTAGATATTTTACTTAGTGCTGCAAAACGAAGAAGAATGATATCTGGCCCTTGCCATTCCATAATTTATAGTCCAGAAAGGAGACAGACATGTTAACAAATAATTGTCATGCAATATAATTTGTGCACTGATAGAGGCACCATAAGAGCAAATGGGGCAATATTTTTTTTTGAGACGAAGTTTCACTCTTGTCGCCCAGGCTGGAGTGATCTCGCCTCATTCATGCAACCTCCATGTCCCAAGTTAAGCGATTCTCCTGCCTCAGCCTCCCGAGCAGCTGGGATTATAGGCATGCACCACCACACCTGGCTAATTTTTGTGTTTTTAGTAGAGACGGGGTTTCACCATGTTGGCCAGGCTGGTCTCGAACTCCTAACCTCAGGTGAACCGCCTGCCTCAGCCTGCCAAAGTGCTGGGACTACAGGCATGAACTACCACGCCTGACCTAAATGGGGCAACTTTATTTTTGTAGGGGAGGACAGCTTAGCAAAGTATCACAGAGAACATGGTGTCTGAGCTGAATTTTGAAAACAAATATAGCTGTCTCCTGCAACCTTTCACACAGGAGACTGCATGTACAAAGGTGTGGAGGTGCAAGGCACAGAATGTTCAGAGAATTCCAGGTCATTGGTATGGTTGGAATGTGGGGTGCGAGAAGGGCTAGGAGACAGCGCTGGGTGAGATGGGTTTTATAATCAGGTTGGACTTTATCTAAAAGATAAGGGGAAGCTA